AGGAACAGCTTCTTTGTGTCACTGAATGATTTAAAACATGTAGTTCATTTGTATCTTCCTAGGTACCAGTTGCACAGGCTTTATAAGAGGTAGTTGTGTTAGGCATAATGGCAAAAAATGTTTACTAAGTTGAACAGAAATGAAACAAAGTTTATAAAAAGGTTAATGTTCAACATTTCTGATCATTTTGGTGGCTAGGAGAGCAGATTCTCTACATAGAAAAGAGAATTTCACAAAATATCATTCAGTAAGACACTAGATGTGTAAGGACAAGAACTTGAGATCTGAACAAAATCTGGTAGAGAGAGCAAATTATAGTGAAACCTCGATGCATCGTTTTCGGCGGGGGTGGGAAATAAAAACGATGAATACGGGTAAACGATAGTTGCGGGAAAGCATTAAAATTTTTAAAAAAAATTAATTTTTCTCTTTCAAAGTTACTTCTTTTTACCAAAAAAGTCTTTAATGGACAACTGGTTTGTCAAAACTTTACGTTTTGGGCCAAACAGAGCCCTTTCCACGTTCAAAATGTTTTCCTCGTCACGTTCACTAATATTATGCACATAATAGAACGACTTCACTGTTGCCAATGCTTCGGCAAAACTCGGCACAGCTTCGGGCTCGCATTCGTCGTCTTCCTCTTCCTCACCACTCCCACCCCCTTCGCGGACAATAACAGGAAGAATGGAAATACTATTACTGCCAAACTCAACGAAACGTAGCTATAGAAGACCCTGAACCACTGGAAACGAAATGAACCAGAAGAATGAAAAGTGTCGCCCGCCTTTCCTTTGTACTTATAATAATGCATGTGTGAAGAAATTCACACTGCACATGCCATCTGGCATCGCTGGAACGAAATATCAGTGCACCCTAATTAAACTCATAAAATTTCTGACAATGAGCACCGCCATTCACTCCAACTATCACCCCTGCACCGCTGACTCCTCATTCCAAAAGAATCTGTGCTGGTTGGGCGACATAACAGGTTACCGCTACTGTGTATTCCAAAAACATTGTGCGTCTTTCGGTATTAATTTATCTCAAATCCCAGCATTTTAAATTCTAAAAACATCGCGTAAATTTCGTTATAATTTCTCAGAAACGATCATTGCGGGAAAATTGTGGGCCGGAACTAAAATTTTTGAACGATCGATGCGATAAAATGATAGTTCGAGGAACGATAGAAGCGGGAAAATGTAACATTATTTTATATGGGATGTATCCGGGACCGAACAAAACGGACGATGCATCCGGGAAAACGATAGTTCGGGGAACGATGGATAGAGGTTTCACTGTATACCAGCATGCTGAATTTATTACTATAGCGCAATAATTTTCATATATTAATATATTTTTTCCAAAATTCCTGTTGTCCCAGCTTAATTCTCAATGCAAAATTTCTTATATTTAATGTTTTCATTGGTAGGAGCCATTATCTTTCAGAAGAACATGAAAGAAGAATTTTATGGTTCATGTGTGTGTTTCACTTCAAATGGAGAAAGTTAATCATTTCAGATAATTTTTTGTTTGCTTTGTGCAGGTGTGTGGTGAATGTGATCGTGAAGACCGCATGCTGCTTTGTGATGGATGTGACCTTGGTTATCATCTGGAATGTCTGGATCCTCCAATGGATACCGTGCCTCTAGAGGAATGGTTCTGCCCTGATTGTGTCTTGTCTAACTCGGTCAATCTCGCAGAGGAGGTAATGGCTCTTACAGTTCCTGTATGTTCAAGAACTGTTATTTATTTTAGTTTCTTCCTTCATTTTAATTTGTTAAGTAAGGCTTTAAGAAGTTAATACGAGGGCAATTCAAAAATTAACCTCCGGTCGGGCGCGAAAAACAAACCAGTTGCCATAGCAACATAGTGCATGCGCAGTCGACATCAGCAAACCTTCACCTCGTTGCACATCAATTTGGCCGCCAATTTGTTCAATACTGCCTGAGTAGTGCGTGGTGTAAGATGGAGGCTATAGTTGCTGCTCCCGCCAGTTGTGAGGTACATAGTGTCATTCGTTTTCTGCAAGCAGAAGGAAATTTTGCCGCTGAGATCCATCGTCGGCTGTGTCGAGTTTACGGCGAGCAGTCGAAACAATGGATGCACACTCAATCACCGAACAAGCCCAAAAAATTCAAACAAACATTTTCGAACAAAAAAATGATGGCTACAGTGTTTTGGGACCGCAAAGGAATTTTGCTTACAGAATTCATGGAATCAGGGACGACAATAACATCACAGGTTTATTGTGAAACGTTGATAAAGCTTAGGAGATCAATCCAGAATAAACGACGTGGGATGCTCACGAAGGGGACTGTTCTTCTGCACGACAATGCGCGGCCCCACACCGCCGCTCGCACAAAGACTCTACTCGACCAGTTCAAGTGGGAGATTTTCGACCATCCCCCTTACAGCCCTGACTTGGCGCCGAGTGATTACCATCTTTTCCTAAAAATGAAGGTCTGGCTGGCTACTCAGCACTTTGAAAGTAATGAGGAACTCATGGATGGAGTCAACAACTGGCTGGGCACCTTGGCTGTACCGTTCTTCGAAGAGGGAATAGATAAGCTGGTGTCACAATACGACAAGTGTCTGAATGTGGGTGGCGACTATGTTGAGAAGTAATGTATGTATGTTTGTAACTTTTGTATATAATAATTTTTTTTCACTGTATTTTGTTTTTCTTTCCTACTCGATCGGAGGTTAATTTTTGAATTGCCCTCGTAGCTTGTTTTAAGATTTGACATAATCTTTGGTTATTTGAAAAGTAAGGTAAATTATGTAATATTCTTATATTGCATATTTACAGGTGCGGTTTTTCATTTTGTACTGTTGTATTTTCCTTTAAAAACTAGTGAAACAAGATGAAACTCATATCGAACATTTTAATCTCTTGCTATGCTTTTTATATGTGTGAGCGTTGCAGAAGGAGGAATTTTGTGGTTTACAACACAGTGAAACCTCGGTGCATCATTTTTGACGGGGGAGAGAGATAAAAGCGACGAATACGGGAAAATGACAGTTGTGGGAAAGCATTAAAAATGAGAAAACAATAAGATAGTGCATTTTTTCTTTTGCATACACAAAATAATACACATAAAACCTGTTTCAAATTTACTTCTTTTTGTCAAAAAAGTCTTTAATGGATAACTTTACGTTTTAGGCGAAACAGAGTCCTTTCCATGTTCAAAACGTTTTCCTCATCACCTTTAAAAATATCGTGCGCATAAAAGAACGAATTAACTTTTTCACCAATGCGGCATGTGCTTCGGTAAAACTCGGCACAGCTTCACACGACTCATCGATGGTGTCAGCCGTGCATGTGGCAAGCTCGCTGCGCATCTTTCGATATTAATTTATCTCTCAAACGATCATTTTAAATTCTAAAAACATTGCGTAAATTTTGTTATAATTTCTCAGAAACGATCAGTGCAGGACAATTGTGGGCCAGGACTGAGATTTTTGAACGATTGATGCGATAAAACGACAGTTCGAGGAACAATAGAACCGAGAAAATGTAACATTATTTTATATGGGACGTATCAGGGACCGAACAAAACAGACGATGCATCCAGGATAATGATGGTTTGGGGAACGATGGATAGAGGTTTCACTGTAGTAGGTAACCAAATTGGTTGTCAACACAATTGATGATGCCTTGCCCGAGGCTCTTTACTGCGTCTGTTTATACTGAGGTGATTTGCCATGGCTCTACCAGAATGCCATGAAAGACATCTGCTTCCTGTCCAGTCATTTCTAGATCACTGTAGCAACTCAACCACCAATGTAACCTCTGCAGTTCTTGTTTTATGTAGTGTGAACCAGCCACTTCTTAAAAATGTGCAGTTTAATATAAATTCAGTCATTTTTTGTACTGCAGAGGACAATGTTATATGTTAAATTATACACCTGATGAAGAAAAGGTGACAACAGACATCAGATTATTCAAAGTTTAAGAAGTGGTGTAATGGACAGAATTTTGTTTCATAGAGAATGCAATTGAAGGAGTAGTAGTTTTGATTTCATATATATATTTCAAGAGCTAGTGAAGCTGGTTTTAATTTGTGGTTGCAAAAGTTGTTTGCATGTTTTTTTCCTTTTAATTTCAGACTTCGGAAGTAGTTTATAATATATGGTTTTTGTGTGGACTGTAAGTACTGGGAAAGAATCATGCTTCTCTTACCCAGGTTGACATTCAGGATGGTGAATTAACAGCCCTTCTGGAGGATGCACCAGTTTGGGGACTGCCACCACTTCGTCCACGTGTATCACGTTTGCTGCCCCGAACAAGGCAAAGTGAGCGTGTAAGAGCTACAATGATAACTCGACAAAGACAACAGAGTGAGGGGAGGCAACAGATAGATCAAACACAAGTATGTACTCTTTTTTCTGGCTGAAGTTTGCACTAAGAACATGCATTATGCATCATCCATTTTTAAAATATCTAAGAAATTATATAAATTAAGCCTTTTTCAAACATATATTAACATTTAGAAACAGCTGTATTCAAAGTTGGAAGACTGGTATTTACTACTCTTCTCTCTAAAAACTAGTTTGTACTACCAGTTCTTACATGTAGAAACTAAACATTCCAAAATACTATAGATAGAACTATATTTTCTTAATAAGAACTAGAAATTGCTGCAGCTGTTTGTAAAATACCAAATTAAGTGGAAAAACCAAGTATTTACTGCACTTTTTAGTTTATACCACATCTTTTTTAGTTTAAACACTTCAGTGATTCTAAAACAATTGCATCCTGGTAGCACTAGACAGCCGTTGCATCATACATTCATTCATTCATTCATTCATTGTGAATGTTGGCTTACATGCAGATTGTTTGTAGTTGTCTCGGTACATGTGAAGTGCATGAAATATTTTATTCAAAATGTATTTTCAGTTGCTG